GTATTTCCTCAGCGACCAGCACGGATCAGCTCTAGGCATGACGAAGCGGATATCGTCCTCTTTTGGAAGGCCAAACAAAGTAATTTCGCTTTCACAACAAAACACACAGCGCCTTCATGACATGGCGGTGGCGGCAACAACAATACTACAGCGAGAATAAAAGTTACGCCTTCTTTCTTTGTGTGAACATTTGGGTGGCGTTATGCAAATCTTCCCACATCGTGACGTAGACATGTGGGGGCGTGTTAGAATGAGCCGTTTTAGGTAGGCGTGGTTGACTCTTAACTTTTATAAAGAATATCTCTTTGGATTTGAGATTTTAGTCTTTGCAACTTTACAGATCTTCTTTATGCACCAAGAGCTTGTAACACTCCAAAGAGAAAGGAAAAATTTAAATCGCATCGTATGACCCCTTTAACTTACATTAGTTAACATGAACTGATGAGCATTTGTTGATCTTATACATTATTAAAATCAAAAGATTTATCTAATAATATTATTTAATGGACTTAAGATAAAGTAAACTAACAATGCTAAATATATATTGTAGGAAAAATATTTATCATTGTTAGTTAATGCATTAACTAACTTTAACTAATGGGACGTTATTGTAAAGTGATACCAAATTATTTGACATAAAAAAATATTTTGTTTTTGTATTTCAGCAACTGTTTTTATTATAAAAAATGTCTCACAATGGAACACTTGCAGATCTTTTTCCCAGGCAAAAAAGTGATGCTTGACAGCATGTGCTGTTTAAGTGTCAGCTTTCAATTTAGTCTGTTACAGTGAATTGACACACACGCACGCGCGCGCACACACACACACACACACACACACACACACACACAAACGGAGATACTTGGAACAAAACTGATTGAGGAAAAACAAGTGAATGAAGACAGATTGCAATACCAGGGGTTTCCTGTAGATTATTCTGAGAACTGTGTGTTAGTTGTTGATTGTTAACATGTGTATGTGTGTGTGTGTGGTTTCCTCTTACCGGAATCTGGTGAGTGAGAGTGCTGTGTGTGTGTGTGTGTGTGTGTGTGTGTGTGTGTGTGTGTGTTTATGAATGTGTTTGAAAAGAGAGTCATTACCTGCTTGAAATTCTGCACCTTGACCCTAGATCCTTCCTGTCCTTTTGCCTGGTGTGTGTGTGTGCGTGTCTGTTGAACAGTGGTGTCAGTTGTAGCTCCTCCTTTTTAAGCATTTAAAAGAGGGAGGTCTGAGAACAGTTAATATCTGTAAACCAGTGGGAGTCGCTCCTGGCAGGTGAAGAGGGAGTTTGAGCTTTTGAATTTGGCGTGCTGTTGGATTCAGTGCAGGAGATGATAGCTGAGGTTCTTTTAGTCTGGAGCATTTGACTTGGTGTAGACGACAGTGAGGGATGAGCGGTGAATGTGGGTGAGTAAACGACTGATTGTGAGCGTTTCCCCTCAGGCTAGAGAGAAACGGAGAGCAGAAAAAGTTTATTTGTAGCTGCATGACTGGTTTCACTGGGAGAGGGTTCATGTGTGTGTTCAGATGATGTATAGGCTGATGTGATTCAAGTGGTTTTCAAAGTTTGTTGTTGTAAATGCAATGAGGCATCAGAATGGACTGTTACATCATCAAGCGTGTTTACATTCAAACACACACACACACGCTCACTCTTGAGAAGTTAACAAATGGACATGAACTCTAGGCTAGATTAAAGTAAATATTTGCATAAAACTATTTTTAGATGGTGTTGCAGAAAAAAAATTCTAAAGATTAAATGGTGTGCATCATACACATTAATAATAATAATAATAATGTTTTATCTTAAAAGGTATATTTTAAATATAATATAGTATTAGAATATTATATTTAATATTTTATAATAATATTTATATTATAGAGTTACAAAATAATGTGCCATTTGCTTTCTCATTTTATGCTTAATACTAAAATCTCAGTCTCTTTCTATTATGTGGAGGTGTCACGCTGCAGGACTAAGTAAATGAACATTGAAGTACTCCCACATAAACATTTCTTAATTAATAGTAGGAGGTAACCTTGAAAATGCTTTATTTACTTCCTGAAATGATTTTTGTGAGTTATTCCACAGGATTGGATTGGTTACAAAATTGTGAAATCTTTTTTCTTGTCTGTCCAGTTAAATTATGAAAATATAAGAGAAAATGGCTTTATTTACTTGTCATCATCATTCTGTTTAATGTAAAATGCATTTGTAAAAGCTGAAAAAATATGCAGTGATGCAATGTCTTGCATCAGAGTTGTTTGCATTAAAATACCCCACCATAAGAAGATGGATAAAACAGTGAAGAGTAAATAAATAAAGATAAAAGAGTGTAGATAAAAATGTAGATAAAAGAGTGTGGTGGTGGAACTGTGGGAGTTGTATTTATCACAGTGGACAGGCCTGGCATCACTTTATCCCACTGTATATAAACTGAAGCATGAGCTTTCCAGGACAGAAACACACACACACACAAAGACGCACACGCGTACATCACA